TGTGCCCTGGGCCGATGGTTCAGTATCGGATTCGTTACCATAAAGGAGAGAATCGGTGAAATAATTCTCATACCCCTTGAATGGTTGCTTATCCGCGACCACCGTCCTAACCTCATTGTCAGTGTCGACATACTTCAAACACTGATGGAGAGTAGAGGGAATTATCACATTACTATGGATCCAAGGCCGACCCAATAGTAAGTTGTACGAAGTCTCCGCATCGATCACATAACACGTGACTTCTGTCTTCAGATCTCCCATCTGGCACTTCACCCGGATCTTACCCAAGGGTCTTGACCCACTAGTGTTGAATCCATAAATAACAGTGCCTGTGCATCAATCGAAGCGGCATAATACTCACAGCAGAACCCGGATCCACTTGGATTCGGTTGACTTGGCTGGAGCCAATGTATCCGACGAAATATAACGGCCGATCGTGGTTCGAATTCTTCGTCTGCATATCTTCTTTGGTGAAAGTAATGCAGGGAAGGTTCTTAGTCGCTATGTTGCACTGTTGACTCAGCGGTTCTGGCTGTTCAGGTATCGGCTTGACTTGAGTCAGAAATACCTCTGCATTGGCCAAAGCTTCTTGTAGGGCCTCCCTGGTTTCTTTGGATAATCGCAGCAACTCATACAGCGTTATCCGTGCAGGAATGTTGGCTAATTGCGCCATAATGTCGAAGCTATGCGGAGTCTTCGAGCTTTCCGGTTTGTCTCTTCCAATTGGACGACTGAAACGAGACTGCTTCGGATTCTGTAACTCTTGGGGATTCTTTTCTTTTGGTTTATCCACCGGCTGTCGTAGAGCTTTTTTACCCGGTGTGGGGCTTGTAATCACTCCCATCTCCGTGAGAGTTTTGGTTGGTCCCTGCTTGTTCACCCCCTGCTCGATAGGTGGCGGATAATTATAATGATACTCGTTTCCGCTCCGTGTCGCAAAAGCTTCTTGTTCTTCTTCAGAGAGCGGGAAGGTGGGGATTCCTTCGTCATCTTTCCCTGGGATGGCAGAGACTCCATAACAAAACTTCCCTTTCCCTTTAGACTTTCTCCCGGATGACGAACCGGCACATTGTTCATCTTCAATCAAATCTGGATGAACCCAAAGGATTTCGCCATTTGGGGTTGTGTGCGGCACAAGTCCCTTTTGGCGCTGTCCGTGCGGATCGTCATTCACCGTCTTCATCCCGACTTTGGTGACGCGTTTTGGCTCGAACCAAGTTGTAGGCACCGACCCGAAACTGATCGACACTGCGTTTGCCCCCACATTCTTGGCAGGTTTCGGGGTTATGACTCCTACGTCGATTAACGCCTGGATCTTGTCCTTGAGGTGGTAGCATGATCTCGTAGGGTGGTGGACCGCTCTATGGTACGCGCAGTACTTTGGATCCGTCACTTTGCTGGCCCCTTCTTGATCCACAATTACCGGCAACTGGATCTTGTTGTTCTCCAACAGGTATTTGAAGATGCCGGGAACTTCATCATCCTTGAAGGAGTACACTTTAGGAAACCTCGGCTCCGCAGATTTCTGCTTCTGAGGCCGTTGTTGCCATTGTCCTCGAGATTGTTGGGGTGCTTGTTGCTGCGGCTGTTGCTGAGGTTGCAATTGAAAGGTTTGATTAGCATCAACTGCATTAGCTTGTGCCTTACCTTTCCCCCGTGGGACGAAGTTTTGCTTTGGAGCACTTGTCGCCGGTTGGCCTCTTTCCGCCTTCTTCCTCTTGAGGAATCGCTCAGCTTGCTCTCCCCGGACTTTCAAGTCCTTCCATGTATTGGATGGTGCTGTCCCCATTGCTTCTAGCACGTCCAACGCGAGGTTGTTGTGGCAGGTCTGGAGGATGAATTCCTCGGTGATCGGGTCCCGGCAATTCATCGCCTTGTTCCGGAATCTTTTGACGAAGGTATCGACTAACTCTCCGTCCTTCTGCTTCTCATCGAGCAACGATCCGATAGATATCTCGGTGTCGTCGTCGAAGAAGTTGGCCAGGAACTTGGTCTCCATGTCATCCCAGCTGTTTACGCTGCCTGGCTTGAGGCGGCGATACCAATCGAAGGCGGCTCCGCGAAGAGTGCCGACGAATGACCGCACCATCAGAGGCTCATTACCAGAGATCACCCCCAAATGCGATTTGAAGTAAATCAAATGCTGGGTAGGTGAACCCATCCCATTAAACGGCGTGAAGTTAATTAGATTAAACTTCGCCGGATATGGGATCGATTCCCATTCTCTTGGGTATGGGCAAGGAATGCCTGTTTTCTTCGTCTCTTGAGCGGAAATTAGTGTGTTGATTTTGCTCTCGAGGTTCTTGATCTTCAGGTTTTCGCCGGTTTCTTCGCCAGCATTCTCATTACCACCCCCTGCGTTGACGGGAGGATCATTGGTGTTACGAGCATTTGTATCCTCATCTTCCACATTAATCGGGTTACGATGATTCTGCTCGCCTTGTTGGTTCGCCAATGCTTGGATCTGTTGGTCATGCATTTCTCTCATCTGCTGCATGGCCATCTCCATCTCAAATTTGAAACTTTCTTTCTGCTTAGCCAAAGCGTCTTCAAGCATCTTGGCCATCTGCTCCTCCCTCGCTGGACACCGTATTATCTGATGCAACCGCGGAACCAGCATCAGATTCTTCATCTTCTGAAGGACGTCTCGTCCGAACCCTACCATAGGTTGCTCGTTCGATGGTTCCGGACTGCAGACGGGTTCTAGGTCGGGAGGCTTTCAGAATTGACTCGAAATCATCTCGTGCCAATGTCCCTTTGCTAGTCATGTTGGTGGTGACCCTCGGAAATTCTCCGTCTTCAATCACCCTTCTTCTTCGTTGGAAGTGCCTAGGCTTTGATTTTGGCGTTTCCGCACTGAGTCTTTCAAAAACTGAAACTCTTTCGGGGACCGCCTTAATGCAATTGCATTCAGACAATACCGCCCGAATGAGTTTGGAACAGGGACATTGAATTTCCTGTTCTCGAGGACTCCTCTTCCTGGTTCTGTTCGTATTCCCAGCACGATAATACAACTCGTCATCTTGACAGTCGGAGTAACCTATCGTGTGCGGGCACGACTTCTCAGGTATACGCCTTAATGCAATTGCATTCAGACAATACCGCCCGAATGAGTTTGGAACAGGGACATTGAATTTCCTGTTCTCGGGGACTCCTCTTCCTGGTTCTATTCGTACCCCCAGCACGATAGTACAACTCGTCATTTTGACAGTCAGAGTAACCTATCGTGTGCGGGCACGCCTTCTCAGGTACAACACAATCACTATCAGATGATAATGTTTCCATCTGAGGTTGACTTGCCTTCTTTGGGCTTTCAAAGGTTACCCGCCTCAAAACATGCCTTTTTGGGCGTGAATTTTCGGCGTGCTCTTGGACTTCAATGCACAAATTGGTGCGCGCAGCTGCCTTGAGTTCTTTGTCATGCTGGAGGTGATGGTGACCCCCAGTATGTTGAGTCGTTCTGGGCTTCTTCATCGGGCCCAAACGCTCGTGAATTGGAGCTTTGCCTCTCACGTCAGGAACTGGACCGAGGCGCTCCAAAATTGATTTCTTCTTGCGGGATGACTCTGCATGATCTCCCGGAGAAGTTATTGGGATTAACGGCGACTTTGGTTGACTCGCCGGAGTTTGACCTTCCTTAGAAGGCTGCACTGGTTGCTTTTTGGCCTGAGTCGCCACTTCAGACTTAGGCTTCCAGACTTGGCGTGTTGGTGGTGGCTTCTTCTCCACCTCCTTTTGCAGCTTTCTACGGGCTTCCTGAGCTTGAGCCCGTGCCTGCGCTGACATCGCGCGGCGCTTGCGAATGCGCTCCTCGAGCGTCGAACGGTTTCGTTTGACGCGGACCCATTCTTTCTTTGGCGGCTTGGAAGAGTCGCCATTCATTGGTGGTTGAGGCTGTTTGCCTCTTCTGTTCTTCAACTCCGCGTGGTAGCGGAATCCGTCCGTAGACTCCATCGCCTTAGCGAATTGCCGCGCAAGGCGTTGACGACGCCTCTGGCGGGCTCTCTTTGAGAGAGTCACAACGCCCTGAACAGTAGAGGCGTTGGCGGGAGTTGGGTTGACCTGATTGGAGGTCGGTGGAACTTCATTTGACGCAACTTCGGCGTCAGTTGGGTTGAGAGCTTCGTGGGCTTCCCGAGCAGCTTCAAACCAACGAGCTTTTCTCCCGGAGGAGAACTTCTTGGACTTGCGGGGGGAGATAGAGCCGGACGAGGACACGTACTCCTCGAACTTGGCTTGGTCGAACTCGTACTCGACCTCCTCCACGACCGGGATTGCAATCCGCGGCTGCGACGCATCGATCTCGTTGGCGAGATCGTCGGCTCCCACTGTGGTCGCCAGATTGTTCGCGTGGAAAACTGTTTTCTTTTTCATTGATATGATTGTCATCTTGGGTTACAAAGATCCGGTCTTTTATAGATCCGGTTACAACTAAATCAAAGAAAATAAAGAAAAATTACAACTCTCCTCTGTGAACAAATCACGAGCTCCTGTTTTGCGGTCGCTCGCTTTGGTGGGTTCTTTGCCTGCGCCGGGGTTAATCCGTGGACCACCGCGCGATCTAGATCCGGTCGGATCTACACGAGTATGCGGGTATTATTCCACGAAGGGAATAATAGCCGGGAGGGATTAATCCACCAAGGGAATAATCGCTCGGATCTCGAGATCTAAGACCAAGCTTAGATCTGGAGTGTAGCCTCGTGTAGATCTCAGATCTGTTCTTTCTTCCTCTCGAGATCCTGCCTTTTCTGACGTGGATGGTCGCCGAGGATCAGATCTGAATGGTGCAAGTCTTCTGGTCTTCAAGCTCCGAGTTCACTCTTCAATCCTCGCTCTCGGTTGGATGACTCGTTGATTCCTCAACTCATTAGCTTGATTCTGCACGCGGGTGGATGCATTCCGTCGCTTCTGTGCGATTCGTCGATCTCGTCGCCTCGTCGGTTCGTCGGTTTGTGCCGAGATATGCTAGGGGACCTATAAGCAATTTTATATGCCTACAATTATTGAGTGTTTAGGGTAGTGCAGCCCCCCCAGATTGAGTCTGACATTGTATCATTAGGAGTTGTCGAGTGAGTCAGGGCTTTATATATCTCAGATATTTGTATTTTTCCATTATCATAGCATTCTTTCATAACTCTCTGTAGATTGTTACTATCACCAAATTTATTGAGAGCCAAGTCTCTAACCTTGAGTAATTGCCTCCACATCCAAGAATCAGTTCTTCTTGCTTGAATTTGCCATATATCCACTTGGTGTATGTAGTTTTCATGCACCCATTTAATCCATAATATATCTTTTTTTGTATGAATCATCCATAATAGTTTCATTGCAGCTGCATAACTCCATGTTTTTGCACTGTATAACCCCAGACCACCCATTTTCCTGTCTGTGCATACATCTCTCCAAGATACTAGATGCATCTTGCAGTTCCATAGGAAATCAGAGCATAACTTGTCTATTTTCTACAAAACTCTTATGGGTAGAATGTAGCTACTTGTCCAATAATTCTGAATCCCCATAATAACAGTTTTAATTAACTGAATTCTTCCAGCATATAACATTTTTCTTCTGCTTTGCCATCCTTGAATCTGTTCTAAAATTTTGCTAATCAAACTTGAGCAATCAAGATGTAAAAGTCTTTTAGAAATCAGAGGCATCCCCAAATATCTAATTGGTAGAGAACCTTCAGAAAAGCTCAGTAGAGAACATATTTGGTTCCTGACATTGTCCTCAACCCCTCCCAGATAGACAGCACATTTATTGGAGTTTGCTTCTAATCCAGAAACTCTACTGAAGTCTTGAAGACAACTATTCAGTTTACTAATAGACTGGATATCAGCTTTGCTGAACAATGGCAAATCATCCGCAAATATTAAGTGAGTTATCCCCAAGCCAGAGCATCTAGGATGGTATTTGAACAGGTTATCAGTTCTAAGCTTCTTCATCCTCCTGGACAAATACTCCATCCCAATAACAAATAAATATAGTGATAGAGGATCCCCCTGCCTCAGTCCCCTTGCCCCTTTAAAGTATCCATGTAGAGATCCATTAAGGGATAGTGAAAATTTTGTAGTAGTTATACAGGTCATAATCCATCCAATCATTTTTCCTGGAAATCCCAATCCTGTCAACATAGCTTTAATGAAATCCCAGCTTATTGTATCAAATGCTTTTCTCAAATCTATGTTGAGTGTAGCTCTTGGGGATATATGTTTCCTACCATAATGCTTTACCAGCTCATGAGCAAGTAGAATGTTATTTGAGATAATCCTTCCTTTGACAAAGGCACACTATGCATCATTTACTAAATATCCAATGACTTTCTGGATTCTAGCAGTTATTATTTTCGAGATCACTTTGTAGACACAATTACAGCAGGAAATTGGTCTAAACTCAGATGGTGAGCTTGGATTCAGAACCTTAGGAATTAAGGTGATGGTAGTTGTATTGAGAGAGCCAAGTAGTTTACCAGAACTGAAAAACTCCTGAACAGCCTTGATCATGTATGCACTAATAATATTCCAGGTGCTTTTGAAAAATGATGCAATATAACCATCAGGTCCAGGGGCCTTTTCATCAGAGATAGTAAAAACAGCATGCTTGATCTTTTCATTAGTGATTGGAGACTCCAGTTCATTTCTATGTCTATCCATAAGAATGGGACCATCAGAGATGACTGCAGGGTCTGGTTCTAGAGTATTCATTTTTTTCCCAAGCATATTTCTGTAATATTCAATAAATTCAGTAGCAATTTCAGGCAAATCTGTAATCCTCCTTTCATTCTCTGAATAGAGTGTTAACACTCTATTTTGATGTCTTTTAGCTTTCATGATTGAATGGAAATATTGTGAGCTTCTATCCCCATGCACAGCCCGACTGATATTTGCTTTTTGTCTATGAAATGATTCTTCACATTGAAGCAGCCTGTTATATTTTTGAATGCATTTTTTTTCCTGAGTAATCAGATTCTGGTTTAGAAGATCCAGACTCATCTGATTTTGTACTCCCAGTAATTCCTCTTTAGCTCTTGCAACTTGCTCCCCAATGTTCATGAAGTGCTTCTTATTTAACTCTTTGAGGACAGGTTTCAGCATCTTAAGTTTAGAGTAAAACTTGTACATGTTGTACCCTTTTATCTCTTGACCCCAGACAGAATTCACAAGTGCTAAGAAGTTAGGATGTTTTGTCCACATTTTATAGAATTTAAAAGGTTTTTTTCCTTGAAAATCCTCCTCCCCAACAGATACAAGAGCTGGAGAATGATCTGAGCACATTGGTACTAGAAATTCCACCTGGCTTGATGTATAATGATGCAACCATCTATCATTAATCAGAATTCTGTCTATTCTGCTCCAGACTCTAGTATTAGCATCTTGCTTATTATTCCAAGTGTAGAAACATCCAATAGATTTGATATGAAGTAGTTGGCTTGATGATATAAAGTTTTGGAAGTCTTCTGTGTCAGCATCTGAAATAGGAGCTCCTCCCATTTTTTCTTCAGCACTAATGATTGCATTAAAATCTCCACCAACCAACCAAGGGCAGTTTACATTTTGTTTGATTTCCAGAAGATCCTGCCATAATCTTTTCCTATTCTCCCTTTGATTTGAGGCATAAACCACAGACATTAGGCATGATACTTTTCCATTTTTCAATTGGACAAAGCAAGTCAGGCATTGATCAGTTGTGCTAATACTTTAAACTGTCATTAAATCATTGTTCCAGAGTATCCAGATTCTCCCATTACCAGCTTCCTGAACATTTGAAATCCAATTCCAGTCTCTAGCAAATTTCCTGGCAATATGCTCCATCTTTTCTTCCTTTAGTTTTGTTTCTAGAAGAGCTATAAAGGGAATATTGTACTGATATATAAATTCCATCTTTTCTTCCTTTAGTTTTGTTTCTAGAAGAGCTATAAAGGGAATATTGTACTGATATATAAATTGCTTTACAATCAAATGCTTAGAGGATTTGTTGAATCCTCTAATATTCCAAATGGCTAAATGCATTTATTGATCCCCCCTGTCAATATGACAAGGGTCAAAGTCATATACCTGTGGATCTAGTGGGGAGAATTGAGTTTTCTGATTTGAATTCCCAGCAACAAGGGTCAAAGTCATATACCTGTGGATCTAGTGGGGAGAATTGAGTTTTCTGATTTGAATTCCCAGCAATGTTGATTGTTGTTCTTCTAGCAATATGTGCTCTACTCACACTTGTGAATCCTGATGCATTCACAATTGTGGATTGATATACATTTGTAAGACATGGGCTACCATGCTTTATGCCTTGTGCACCTGGTGAGCTATTATCTATAGCTTTACCCTTGTCTTTTAAGCTGTGCATGTTTTCTATTAGTTGCTGTGGTGTATTGCACCCTTCTTGCTCATACTATCTTTTCCCTGAGCCTCATATGCAGATTCATTATCTGGTAAAACCTGTTGCACATCATTCTCCTTTTCAGCATTAGTATTCAATCTATCAACCTGCACCTGAGCACTGTGCGTATCAGTCTGCACATTATGTACCTGCACAACTTCCTTCTGTTTATTAACAGGAACCCACATTTTTCTTCCTTTTTGCCTCCTGCAATATTCAGTATCATGTCCCACAATATTACAAACTGTGCAGCATTTTGGCTTAAGTTCATATATGACATTTTGCCTATACTTTTTTCCATCAGGTCCTTGTATTTCAACTGTGTCAGGTAATGACTCTTTTAAGGGCAGCTTCACTTCCAGTAAAACCCTAGCATAGCTTAGCCTTTGCCTTGTTGCTGTAAGCATGTCAGTTGTTATTGGACATCCTATAAGACTTGAGATTTTGCTGATACCTGTAGCACTCCATAGGTTGAGCTTTAAATTTGGAAATTGTACCCATAATGGATAAGAACAATCTTGTATTTTTTCCACTTCAGAGTCAATTGACCAAGGCTTGAGAACCAATGGCCTTGAGCCAAAAAACCATGGTCCTGCATCTAACGCTTTTCTCATCTGCTGCTCCGACGGGAAATCAAACAAGAAAACACCTGATTTGATCAAAATGATTTTTGGAATTGAAATTCTCCCCCAAGCTTTATTTACATATGCTTCCATGGATTTGAATTTTGCATTGAATCCTATAACATGACCTACTAAAGCATTCTTCCAATAATCAACTCCTTCCCTCCATTCCATTTCAGTAAAAACAGCGGCATTAGATTGATCAGATGGTATGAAATTAAGGGACAAACCTTTTCCAGGTTTTCTATTATCTGTAAACAAGCTGGCAAAGGATTTCTTCTTTCCTTCACTTTCCTTTGTTAAATCTATCTCATCTTTCAGTTCATCATTCTTTTCCTCCAGATTGATTTTCCCGTAATTTTTTGAAGATTGAGCTACAGGAGTTGCATGAATCTCAACATTGCTATTAATTTCATCACAATCTTCATCATTCTCAATGTTAAAATCATCTTCTATATCTTCATCCCAGGAGATTGAGTTAGGACTCTTACTAAGTTGTCGAGCAAAGGTAGAGTCAGATCTGAGATGAACTTGAGCAGGATCAGAGAGAGAGGTAGTTCTAGCCAGTATTTCCTCCATGAGCACTCTCTTCTTCACCCCAATCGGACCTGTGCTCCCCATTAGCTCCATCAACGATTCCTCTCGAGCTTCAACTGTTCCATTGTTTTCTTCACCATTTTCGATTCCCTCTGTTTCCTCAGATCTACGAGTAGACGAAGAGGAGGGGAAAACGAAAATAGAGTCTCTCAGAGTAGCACTAGGAGTCCCTTTACTCCCAATCTTCTTCTTCTTCTTCTTCCTCATTGTAGATCTAGACGGAGGTGCACAATAGCGGGAAAATTTTCGCCCGCTAAAATGCACCAATAGAGACCGCCACTTTTTTGCCAATAAATTCTATAGTGGACCTTGTTCAGCTATGATTTTCAGAGAAAAAGATATGTCGCTGGACATGCATTTTTTTTACCTTCTTCGTCCATTATACTGGTAATATATGAGCTTTAGGTAGCTAGGTCCATCTTTTCGGAAGTAGCTGTGCAGCCTAGGCTTTAAGTTCATGACTCTGTTACAAAGACATCCCAGCTAGGCTTGAAGTTCATGACTCTATTACAAATACCCGGAAGATAGCAGCCAATTAAGCCCCAAATATCTCAAACACACACACATTTTAGATAAGCAAAAGTTTTAAATGTTATAGTATCAAGACAAAGGACCAATATCTCAAACACACACACATTTTAGATAAGCAAAAGTTTTAAATGTTATAGTATCAAGACAAAGGACCACAGATAGGGTATACAACAATTACAGAGTAAAGACACTAAAAGTACATCAGAACATATTTTGGTCATCTCTGTAATTTCAAGTCAGAAGCATTGGAGTGAGCCTAACCAGTTTAGAAAAAATAAGGTGAACCGCATGTCCCTGTTCCTAGTCGAGGATGGAACATGGTTATCAAGTGCCTTGGGTCATAAGGTGTGACACGGTAACTTTTAAACATGAAGGGGTGACGACATTTCCATAGTAAATTTATATGCATTTGCATGTGGTTCCATTAGCATGAGAACATGTATGAAACCGCATGTGTAAGAAGGAAATAGATGGATGCATGCAGAAAAGCATGCGTTCTTGCATTCATCATATGATATGTTTATAAATGTTATCACAATTTTTAGCAAAGTGTGAAAAATGAAAGTGAAAGTTCCAGTATATACAAAGTAAAGAAACACAATGAATAAGCATGCACGCATGCCCACCTGCAAGCATGAACGCACACATGCATACTGGATATCATGTGTTGTAGGCTAGTATCCGATCTGCAGATCGATCTTCTATATTCCTGGAGACGTCTCCTGTCTTGAAATTATAGGAAATCACTATCTGCTCACTGTGACCGACCCTCACCCTCATGTACAGCTTCTCTCCACCATAAAATGGTAGAGCCAACCACTTTTTCATGTAGACCAGGCATTCTACCTTCTTACCCTTCCTCATCAGCAGCAGGCCCAACGGTAGAAAGAAGTGCTCATTATCCACAACCATCTGAACAATATTCACTTTGTATATCTGCTCCCAATTGCCATTGTTGTTCAACAACCACACTTGCACATATAATTCACATAGTTTCGTGTACGTCAGTTGATCCTTACACACTCCCATCTCATTGTAATCAAAGGCATCTGTCTTTTCAGGTAGTGTTATGATTGTGCAAACATCTTCCTTAATGTTGAATGACATCAACTGATTGGAGCATTCCCAGTATACAACTCCTTTGACATAAATGGATTTCCCAAGCTTGATGAAGTCTCGGATAGTAACTTTTGCATTGGTTGAAACCCACTTGCTAGTGATTGATGAGAAGATCTCAAATCCAAAAGTGAGTATATGACGACGCCTTGCACTACTCTCGCGATCATAACGGAGCTTGACAGGATGGATGATTTTGTAGCCTGTAGACGAGGTTTTTGACTCGAATGCCAAAGCAGCGGAGTTTACACGATCACCGCTGTCAGGGACGACACGGCCCTCGCTTGTTAGAGGATTGTGAACATATAAGAATCTATGGTTGATGGTATTATTCTCCAATTCAAGGCAGAGGAGGCCATTGGTAGAGTTGATGAGCCTAGCTCGATAATCATTATTAGGGAAGAAGGAGTTGGGATATGATTTGCAAACCGTGATTCCAGACGTAGTGATTGTGTACACATTTGTTTCATCTTTGCCAACTGAGACAAGTTGGTAATTTGGGAGGAACTTGAAATTGTTCCACTTCTTGCAGACGCACTTGAATCTGCAAAGCAATTTGTAAGGAAGCCGCAGGAGGATTTCACAGAGGATCAGTTCCTCCGGGATCATGCAACCTGCAATTACTGGAGTTGATGCTGGCGATGATGGTTCTCCCTTCTGCTTCTTTGTTTTCATCGTAGCAGCCAACTCATCGTCGCCCATGATTTAGGGTAGCTGTGTGTAGCTAGGCTTCTGATATTTATAAAGCCTGGGACTCCCTACTAATTACTCTCCTTGTTAATCCTCAGCTTGAATTTGAGATCGGTTATTAGGATACGAGGAGAGAACTGTTGTTCTGTTATTAAAATTTTAATTTGAGCAAAACGGATATTTGTTTTCCTCGTATTTTATTCAAAGCGACATCCTTTTTAACTACTAGTTTTTTATCTACATACACGTAAACTGTACGGCATTTTTTTTTGAAATTTATCCTTTAGATCATTGTATTTACGGCAAACCTTGAAACAAACCTCGTTCCTACCCTCTCTGATATGTAGCGAGGCAAAGATGAGGACAGAGAATGAATTTTGCCTTAATTATGTACGGAACCTACCAAACATCAAGGGGCCATTAGTCAAATAGAACTCAAAACTAAAATTAAGATAATTTTTAGGATAAAACTTTATAGTGTTAGTCAATTAGAATTAAAATTAGAATGAAATTTGATAGTATTGTTAGTCAACTACAACTCTGACAAAACTAGAACGGGGATAATAGTACAAAAGTATCCTAATTTTTTTATTTTTCTATACAAAAATGAGAGTTCTAGTCTCTCAAATTATGCTAAGTTTTAGATTAGAACTAGATAGTAAAAAACTAGAACCCCCATTTATTTTATTATTTTTATTTTTATCTTTTTTTTACGTCTTCGCTACTATGGCCATCACCATCATTAGATCATGCCATCAAATCAGATCTGGTCTCCTCTTAGTCATAACTGTTATTTTCTTTTTTACCGAGTATTATAATTATATAGTTAATTTAAAGGTGTCTCCTCTTAGTCATAACTGTTATTTTCTTTTTTACCGAGTATTATAATTATATAGTTAATTTAAAGGTAAAGATTGTATCAATCCATAATTTATTAAATAATAAAATTGAGAGATGAGGGAAACAGATCTCGGGGAACGAAAAAGGGAAGGGAAATGGGAAAAACTTTTTTCCAGACTTGTACTATAATGATAATTAAAAATAAAAAAGGCTATAATATATGTTATAATAATAATCGTCAATATCTTATAGTCTAACCAAAAGTTATTTAATAGTAAATAACATTCTTGTAAACAATTATCAATTAATAGCAGTAAGTTTAAGATACATGAATAGTATTTTTATCCTCAAGATGCATTAGTATATACTTCATAATTACAAAATTTATCTCATGTTATTTTATCAAAATGTCCTGCTTTACAAAATTGTTCCTATTTATTCAACTAAAACATCTTACTAGCAAAAAATTATTCCACTTTAACAATTATCCCACTTTGCATGAAAATGTCCCAATTGACTTATACCATCTAAGTATAGGGCTATATTAGTTTTCCCATATGTATTAATAGA